AGCCCTTTGGCGGCCACGACGATGGACCCGGCGCCGGCGGGCCGTGTGGAAGGGGAAGCAGTCGCAGCCTCGGGAGCCGCTGCCACCGCGGCGCTCAGGGAGTCGGCGCGGCAGGTAGGGCGGGGCCGCGGGGGGCGGTGAGACCCGAGAGCCGAGCCTCCTCCGGGGCTCCTGCCCGGCCTTTCTCGGGTCGGGCCGCCCACCGGACGCGGGTTTCGGGGTTCTCCTCGCCGTACCCCGCCTCAGAGCGGTAAAGTCGGCTTGTGGGAAGGAGCGGACGCCCGCCGGGGCGCCCCTCGCCTCCCGCCCTCACCCACCACCCCCTCAGCACCAACCCTTCGCCCGCAGCGCCGCAGAATGTGGGCGGCCTCGGGTTTCCCGAGGGAATCCCAGCTTCTGGTCGGCGAGCGAGACGAGGAAGGCGTGTCCCCGAAGGCCGTCCTTAGAGTAGCTGGAAGCCAGGTGACGGCGGCTTCAGCCGCCCGGCAGCCTCTTCTAGTGCAGGCAGGCGCCTCTGGCATCTGCCCGTTGGGTAGCTTATAGCAACTCGGTGCGAGGCTTTGGCTCATCGCACCCTTAGGAGACCCGCTCAAGGTGGGTGTTATTCCCATGTCTCTCACGAGGTGACTAAGGCTGAGACCTGCGCTGTCCTTTAGAAGTTTAATGAGAGCCGCATAGAAAATGGTAATTGCAGATTTTCCAGCAGCCACGTTAAAAAGATGAAAACCTGGTGATATTAATGTTAACGTGGTATCTTATTTAACCTAATTTATCAGAAACATTTAAACATATAACTAACATAAAAGTTGTGAGTAAAGTATTTTGCATTGTTTTCTTTTTTCTTCTTCTTTGAGTCGGAGTCTCACTCTGTCGCCCAGGCTGGAGTGCAGTGTCACGCTCACAGCCACGGCAGCCTCGACCCGCTGGGCTCAGGTGATCCTTCTGCCTCAGCTTTCCAAGTAGGTAGAACTACAGGTGCAAGCCACCACGCCTGGGTAATTTTTTGACTTATTGCACAGACAAGGTCTCTTCAAGTTGTCCAGGCTGGTCTTGAATCTCTGGCTTCAGGCAGTCCTCTTACCTCCACCTCCCAAAGTGCTGGGATTACAGATGTGAGCCACCGCCCTTGGCCTACATTGTCTTTTTGAGCCTTTTCCAAGTCTTTGAAATCCTGTGTATATTTATTCGTATACCACGTCTCAGTTCTGACTGGCTACATTTCAAGTTACTGTAGTGACAGCATGAGTTTGCAGTTAGGTACTAAATTTGGAGATGTGTGTTGGATTTGGTAGTCTAAGTTAGTAGTTTAGGATATTTGACCAAGTAAAACTAATGAACAAATGGCTTTAACTGAAACCTGCTCAGGAGTATATAATTTTGGTTGTTGAAAATCTCTCTGGAGTTATTATGGATGGTTAAAAAACCAAAACAAAACCTCAAGTTGCTCATGTGCAGAAATCTTCCCACCCTCTGTGAGAAGGAAGCTTTTTCAGTAGCTTTGTTTTTGAGACTAACTACATGAATGTTAGGCATTTTTCCCAAACTGAGTATAGCTCTCAAAGTATAAGATGTAGTTTACATAAACAAAAACTTTCCCACATACAGTCTCTATGTGGAATTTCTTGTTTTTTTCTCCTATGTAAAAAGAGAAGGAGGAAAGCATGCAAGAGGGAATTCAGGGGCCAATGCTAATTGATTAGGGAGCCACTTCATTTTCAGTTGATTTGAGACCTGTTGTTGCCAGGTACACTTGAACTTAGACTTTAAGTCCACTGTGCTTGGTGTGCTTTTCCATTTGATTTTTCCTTTTGTTACTAGAATTTCTTTTTAATCACTCCTTCAGCTTTGAATCTCTCTAAGAGCAAAGTTAACATACCTGTACTGATATACCAGATAAATGTTGTTTGAAGATAGTCTCTTTGTTTTGGTTTAGTGGTATTATATTGTTTTCGCATTCTTGGTTAACAAATTATAAATATTTAAACAGTAAAAAAGGCTGTAGAGCAAAAGATAAAAGTGCTCAAGAAAAAAAAAATGTATGGGAATATCCCCCACCATCCCTTCTCACATTCTCATTCCCCAAAAGTAACTATTAAGTTTTGGTGTATTTTGCCTGGGATTTTCTATGCAAATATTATCCATTCTTTTTTGTTAAACACAAATGAGCCGGGCTCTGTGGCTCAGCCTGTAATCCTGCGCCTTTGGGAGGCTGAGGTGAGTGGATTGCCTGAGCCCGTGGGTTCGAGACCCGCCTGGGCAGCGAGACCTCATATCTACAATAAATCAAAAAATCAGCCGGGTGTGGTAGCGCATGCCTATAATTCCGGCTACTTGGAAGGTTGAGGCGGAAAGATCGCCGGAGCCCAGCAGGTCGAGGCTGCGGTGGCCGGGAGTGGCCACTGCACTCTAGTCTGGGCGACAGAGTGAGACTCCAACTCAAAAAAAAGCAAAAACAAAACAAAACACAAATGAGTTTGTATTATACAAATTGTTTCCTAGTTTCCCTTTTTTTTTTGAGTCGAGCCTTACTCCTTTGGCAGAAATAAGGCTAGGCAGCCTCCACCTCCTGAGCTCAGGTGATCCTTCTACCTCAGCCTCCCGAGTAGCAGGGACTACAGGCATATGCCACCGTGTCTGGCTAATTTTTTTTATTTATTATAGAGACAAGGTCTCACCATTGTGCCCAGGCTCCTCTTGAACTGGGCTCAGGCAGTCCTCTTGCCTAGGCTTCCCAAAGTGCTGGGATTACAGGTGTGAGGCACTGTGCCTGCCCCTTTTTGTTTTCTTATTCATGCTTCTGAAGCTGAAACATTTCTGGGAACCTCAGATCTGTGCCCTGGGGTTTGAGCACAGTGAGAGGGAAGAGGCCTGTGAAGTGGAAATTTGGGAGAACTTCTTCCCAAGTTTGGCAGAACTGAGAAACTTAAGTGCCATATAGGGAAAGAAGTAAAAGATAGGAAATTGGATCTAGAGTTAGGCCTCTAACCAGGTCATCCATTACCTGTTGTGACATTCTATCCAGCAGCTTCTCTGAATAGACTGAATCACAATCTCAGTTTCTTACCAAGCATTCACTGTGTGCCAGGAAACGTTGGCCAAAGGATATAGCAGTGCCTACCCCCATGTTGCTAACCACCTATTTGGAGAAGGTGACACAGAATAAATTCCTAGAGTAGTGTGTGTTTTAAAGAAGTTCTGGGTGCTGTATAAAAATAAAACTGCCATTAAAAACTGGCCCTGAGAAATGAGCAGATTTACGGATTGGTTAACTATAAAATGCAGTAAAACGTTAATTGATATTGTACCTCATAATTTTCTGGTGCTGTAAAACTATCTTTTAAGATCTTTGGAGTTTGTTAAAATGGAATTTGCGAAATTGACAGTGAAAATGTTCTTATCTGCAGGTTTACTGTTTGTAAAAATGAAACATTAGAAAATTCAGAGAATAACTTTTATTTATGATTATTGGAAATTTTGATCCAAATTGTTTTCTGGTTGATTTTACCTGTTTCCCTTTGCTGCCCCCTACATCCCAGGTAGAGGCTGAATCACAGATCATTTATAAGTTGAAAATCCCTAATCAGAAATGCTCCAAAATTCAAAGCTTTTTGAATGCTGGCTTAATACTCAAAGGAAATGGAACATTTTGAATTTTGGATTTTCAGATTTTGAGTGTTCAACCAGTAAGTATAATGCAAATATTCCAAAATCTGAAATGCTAAATAAACACTTCTGACTCCAAGTGCTTCAGATAGGGAATACTCAACCTATATTGTTTTCCACAGATTTTTTACTGGGCAGTCTGGCTCCTTAAGAGTAGCAGTTGGCGAACTACAGCCTAGGGGCAGATCCAGCTAGCCACTTGTTTACATAAAGTTTTCTTGGAATACAGCCATGCCTATTCACTATGTTGTATCCATATAAGTAGCTATTTGTCCATGGCTGCTTTTTGCAGCGTTTGCTTGTCCACAGAACCTACAATATTTACCAACTGGCCTTTACAGAAAAAGCTTGCTTACTCCTACTTAAAAGTGATAAACCTAAAATCTGAGTTTTACTATATCAAAAATTAATGTTTAACTTTTTCAAGAGAGGCCTTCAATAAAAGTTTCCTTAATAAAATTTTTTGTATGAAATATGATTAGAACAAAAAGAATGCCTTTTTTAGTTGAAATCTCTGTTGCCCTGGCTAGAGTGCAGTGGTGCACATGCTTACAGCTACCATAGCCTCAACCTGCTGGGCCCAGGCAATCCTTCCACCTAAGCCTCCCAAGTAGTTGTGACTACAGGTGTATACCACCACGCCCGGCTAATTGTAGAGACAAGGTCTCACCAAGTTGCCTAGGCTGATCTCAAACCCCTAGACTCAGGTAATCCTCTTGATTCTGCCTCCCAAAAGTGCTGGGATTACAGGTGTGAGCCACTGTGCCCAGCTTAAAATGCTATTTTAAATTAAGTATTGTATATAGAGACTGTTAACTCTGTTTATACTTATTTAACTTTGGTATTAGAATGAATAGTATTAATCATGTTTCAGCCTTTTCTTTTGTAGATTTTTTTTTTTTTGAGTCGAAGTCTCACTCTGTCACTCAGGCTGGAGTGCAGTGACATGCTCACAGCCACCACAGCCTCAACTTGCCGGGCTCAGACGATCCTTCTGCCTCAGCCTTCCAGGTAGCTGAAACCACAGACATGTGCCACCACACCCAGCTAATTTTTAAAAAATTTATTTATTGTAGAGACAAGGTCTTGCCAAGTTGCTCAGACTGGTCTCAAACCCCTGGGCTCAGGCAATCCTCTTGCCTCAGCCTCCCAAAGTGCAGGGATTACAGGCATGAGCCACTGTGCCCGGCTTGTAGATTTGTTTTTAACCTTTTGGAAAGAATATAGCCAAGAGTCAGGATTAATAGTGACTTTACACTAGTTGTTATGACCCAGAGAGAGAATGTTTTATTCAAGTTTAGGGAAGATAAAGTAGTTGAGCCCATAGTTATGAGCAAGCATAATTTAAGCCCATGATTTCTGTTCAACTACTAGAAGGTTCCTTGAACTGCTGTTACTGAGACAGAATTACACTGATAAAAGTAGTGAACTAGAATTGCCTAGCTACGCAAGTAAATTGCTGCTTTATTTTTGTGCATTGTTTTCTCTTAGACCTCTAGGAAGTCATAAGTGAGGCTTTCCTTCTCCTTTGCCTGCGTCTTAGAAAGGAAAATTGAAGCCAATGAGAGATTGGTAGAAGGAGCAGAAAGAAGCTACTTCTGCTCTGATGGGAGTGGGGCAGGGTGGAACGTTTGGTATACTGTGAAAGATCTGAGCTCTCATCGACTGAGGCTGTTGCATTGGTAGACCTACCCAGTTAGTGTGATGACTGGAGACCTAACCCAGCTCCTCTGCCTTTCCTTTACATTGAAAATTAAGGGACCCAAAAAGCTGAGTCAGGTCCAAAAGGAAACGCTGGGGTCAGGATAAACATAAGCCAAATTTTATCTCAAGGGAAAACATGAGATGGGGTAGGAATGGGTCTTGATGCCTGGGGACTGGTGGAGGGTAGGGGTGGATAGAAGAAAGGTAGTCTGGGTGAACTACTTACTAATTTTGTTCATGGACACAATAAATGGACTGATCTTCTCTTGTTAAGGACTGGGATTTGTTTGGACCCTCAGGACATACTAGAGAGAATTGTGATCTTTTTTTCCAGGTTAACCCATAAATAGCCTATGTTACCACCGTTTTTATGATTTGCAGTTTGCTATATGGCAGTTATTGTTGTTCTCAGTGATGTCCATGTGTGTCATGGAACACTGCATGTGTTCCTTGGGTTGGATATACCTGGATTCAGATCCTGGCTAATGACTAAACTTACCTTGGGAAGTAAACAGAAGAACCACTGTATGTTTTGTAAGAAGCACCTTAGAGAAAGCAATGCATAAAAATAAGCAGCATTTACTTGCGTAGCTAGGCAATTCTAGTTCACTACTTTTATCAGTATAATTCTGTTTCAGTAACAGCAGTTCAAGGAACCTTCTAGTAGTTGAACAGCAATCATGGGCTTAAATTATGTTTGCTCATAACTATAAGAATCTTTATTTTTTTGAACTTTGGACTATCATAGAGAATTCCACCAACATGGATTTGAATCATGACAGTCCTGTATCATTTTTCTTTGATTTAGTTTTAAAATACCAATAATACATAAACATATTTTCATCATAAAACAGCCAACAACACAGCTGGGCACGGTGGCTCACACCTATAATTCCAGCACTTTGGGAGGCTAAGATGATAGGATTGCCTGAGCCCCGAGATTCAAGAGTAGCCTGGGAAACTTGGAGAGACCTCCTCTCTACAATAAGTCAAAAAATTAGCTGGGCGTGATGGCCTATGCTTGTAGTTTCAGCTACTTGGAAGTCTGAGGCGGAAGGATCGCCAGAGCCCAGCAGGACGAGGCTGCAGTCTGGGCGACAGAGTGAGACTCCAACTCAAAAAAAAAAAAAAAAATTAATATTTCCCTAAGAGTAAAATATGGGTTTAATTATACCTCTATAAACTACTATAGTTTTAAAATTTGAAAAAGCTTTTTACTGTCAGAAATCTTTGTTGTCACCTATGTATTATTGACTTATGTGAACTAAGTTCAGAGTCTGATGGTCTGCTTTCTAGATTTGGTTTACAAATGGATTTTATTTGGTCTTCACAATGTTCTAAAATTGTTTTCACTTTAAATGTCTTTAGTTGGGGCATGCATTGTCCAAGGTCCAGTCTTGCCTATATCTTCCTTCACTCGTTTTTGGTACCTGCTTAGTCCTGAAAGGCATTTGAATTTAAGACTCCTATTTTAAGAAAAGGAGAGGAACAGAGCTAGTTAATCTGAATTGTTTTCTTTTGCTTATACATAGCTAAGCCAAAATCCAAAGACTTAGAAGAGATCCCTGATATAAACTTATTTTTATTCATTTTATATTTTTAATATGTCTGTATGATTTTTCCTTTGATACATATTAATCTTTTTTTTTTTTTTTGAGTTGGAGTTTCACTCCGTCACCCAGACTGGAGTACAGTGGCTGCTCCCAGCCACCGCAGCCTCGACCCGCTGGGCTCTGGTGATTCTTCCGCCTCAGCCTTCCGAGTAGTCGGAATTACAGGCGCGCGCTACCACGCCCAGCTAATTTTTGATTTATTGTAGAGATGAGGTCTCGCCAAGTGGCCCAGGCGGGTCTCGAAGCCGCGGGCCCAGGCAATCCACTCACCTCAGCCTCCCAAAGGCCACGGGATTACAGGCTGAGCCACCGAGCCTGGCTACATATTAATCTTTCTATAATGATCTTTGTACTTTAAAATTATTGATGTCTAGTAGGTCTGCATGTATGTATAGTATTGAGATTTCTGTGTCTTAAAGTCATAGTTTATTAACTGTTGAATTAAATAAAAAGTTTAATTGGTTAAGTTCTATTTTTAACTTCAGTGAGTATGCACATGCTTGCTTTGTTATTCATTATATTTTACAATATATGGTATGTTATAGATGCTCTTGTATGTATGATTTTGCTTTTTTATGTTTGTTTGCTTATCTATTTATTTTTGAGTAGGAGTCTCTGTTACCCAGACTGGAGTGTAGTGGCATGCTCATGGCCACTGCAGCCTCGATCTGCTGGGCTCAGGTGATCCTTCCACCTTAGCCTTCCAAGTAGCTGGAATCATATCCGTGTGTCACCATGCCCAGCTAATTTTTTTATTTACTGTAGAGACAAAGTCTCGTCAGATTGCCCAGGCTGATCTCGAACCCCTGGCCTCAGGCAGTCTTCTTGACTCTGCCTTCCAGAGTGCTAGGGTTAGCGTGAGCCATCATGCCTGACTGATATTTTGTTTAAAAAAAAAAAGAGCTGCTTAAAGATTGGTTTATGTTTCTTTATTCCCTAAGATAAAGCAACCAAAATTTTTGGGTATAATGAAAAAAATTAATTTCACTTGAAACTCTCATTTTTTAATTTTATTATTGATACAGATGAATAATGACAGAGGCTTTGAAAATGTAGAACTGGGAGTCATAGGAAAAAAGAAGAAAGTCCCCAGGAGAGTCATCCACTTTGTTAGTGGTGAAACAATGGAAGAATACAGCACAGATGAAGACGAAGTTGATGGCCTGGAGAAGAAAGATGTTTTGCCTACTGTTGATCCGGTAGGTTTAATATTGATGATTCTTTCCAGAATGGACTTTGTTTTGATTAGTTTGTTTCTTCTTAAACATTGAATGGAAGAGAATTTATGAGGTTAAATCACCTATATTCTGTTACACAATTATATAATGTGATTTTGGTAGGCTATTGTATTTTTACCCAGTATAGATGAAAATATTTCCAGCATTTCAGTAGTTTGAAATGCTTTATTTTTTGGTATCAGAGTACCTTGTGAGTGTGGATAGATTCAGGATTTATCTTACTTAACTGAGTGCTTGAATCCAAGTCGCTTTGATTTAAGGAGAGTACTACCATGATGTTTTCCATGCCTAAAATAGGGAGTTGTTAGTTCTTCTTTATATTGCCTCAAGTTTTGATTAGATAATAGGAATCTATATTGCTAAACTTCATGTGTCTCACCAGCTAAATTTAAGAATTTATAATTATACAAGATATGACTATAACATTTTGAGACTAGCCGTACATTTTTTTTTGAGTTGGTGTCTCACTCTGTTGCCCAGGCTGTAGTGCAGTGTCATGCTCATAGCCACTGCAACCTTGACCTACTGGGTTCAGGTGATCCTTCCGCCTCAGCCTTCCAAGTAACTGGAACTACAGGCACATGCCACCATGCCCGGCTAATTTTTGGTTTTTATTGTAGAGATGAGGTTTTGCCAAGTTGTCCAGTCTGGTCTCGAACCTGTGGGGTCAGGCAATCCTCTCACCTCGGCCTCCCAAAGTGCTGGTATTATAGGCGTGAGCCACTGCGCCCGGCCTTGCAGTACATTTTTAAAAAGTGTTGCCCTTCCAAGCAGTTATTTTTACAGTTTAGGTAATCACATATTTATATTTTCTTTTTCTATTCGTATTTTTTTTTTTTTTTGAGTAGGCGTCTCACTCTGTCACCCCCACTGGAGTGCAGTGGCCGCTTGCGGCCACCACAGCCTCAACCTGCTGGGCTCTGGCGATCCTTCCGCCTCAGCCTTCCGAGTAGCTGGAATTACAGGCGCGCGCTACCACACCTGGCTAATTTTTTGATTTATGGTAGAGATGAGGTCTCACTAAGTTGCCCAGGCGAGTCTCGAACCTGCGGGCTCAGGCAATTCACTCACCTCAGCCTCCCAAGGTGCGGGATTACAGGCTGAGCCACTGAGCCCGGCTTATTTATATTTTCTAATACGGACTGTTTTAGGTGCTGGTGATGCGACCATGGGCAATATAAATTTCTGTTCTCATATACCAGTGGGAAGGCAAGCAATTAACAAATAAATATGTACTATAATTATCAGGCTATGAAAAGTGCTATGAAGGAAATAAAGCATAGTAACAGGATAGATATTTGATATAGTATTTAAAATATTATTACTCATTTTTCATCAGATTTATCTCTGAGTAGTTTTTGGCTATTAAAAATCATAAGTAGCCAGGTTCGGTGGCTCAGCCTGTAATCCCGCGCCTTTGGGAGGCTGAGGCGAGTGGGTTGCCTGAGCCCGCGGGTTCAAGACCCGCCTGGGCAGTGAGACCTCATCTCTACAATAAATCAAAAAATCAGCCGGGCGTGGTAGCGCATGCCTGTAATTCTGGCTACTCGGAAGGCTGAGGCGGAAGGATTGCCGGAGCCCAGCGGGTCGAGGCTGCGGTGGCCACTGCACTCCAGTCTGGGCGACAGAGTGAGACTCCAACTCAAAAAAAAAAAAAAAAAAAAAAATCATAAGCAGATTCTCTACTGTAGAAAACATTCAAAGGATTGTGCAGTATGCACTTCCACATACATTTAGAATATTAAAGAGGTGTTTCATGCAGTGGAAGAATTGTTGGAATAAATATCTTCCTTTTAAATTACTTTCAAGGCGTTCTTGTTTATTTGTATATGCATGTTTTATTTTTTTTATTTTTTTTTTGAGTTGGAGTCTCACTCAGTCGCCCAGACTGGAGTGCAGTG